CTGTCAGGAAAAACCAGTCTTTCAAAGCAAACAATACCTTTCTCCCTTGATTGATTGATTGATTGATTGATTGATTGATTATGTGCCACCAAGATCTCTTGGCTCTTTTTGATCTTGCTACCGAAAGAATAAAGGCAGATAAACAAACAAACCAAAAACAAACAAACAGTCAAGAAACACTTTGCATGCTACATTCTTCCAGCTCTATTCTGATTCGATTTTGTTCGCTTAATCAGAAATCTCACAACAGTGTTTTACTATATTTGGGTCTCAACAAATGCCTCAAAGTCACCCACTTGTTTTCTGTACTACACAGCTGGATGCTGGCAATGGAAATTTGCTATTTAAACGAGTGGTGAGGTGGCCTAGAGGCGGAGTTCTCGCCTCACAGTCAAGAGGCTGTGAGTTTGATCCTAGGTAGAGGCAGATATTTCTCCCTCCGGGCACAATGAAACTGTATTTGCTGAACAAAACTCCACATTGGTGACAGGAAGGGCATCTGGCCAGTAAACAGCCAGCTCCATTCAGTTGCCCAGATTTCACTCTGCAAGGGATGATGGGGTCATTAAAAGAAGAAGAAGATTTGCTTATTTACACAACAATTGAAAAGAGTGAACATTGGGACAATCCAGCCAAAGGAGATGGATACTACCATCACCCGAGCCTGACCTTGCAGATGTGAAAATGATCACATTCAGAATGTGTAATCAGTATTGTATGGCCATAGATTTGAAAGAAGTTGAGTCTCTTTCAAGTCTAGGTTGTTGTCTAGTTTAGTGAAAGGAAGGAACTAGGGGAGACAGGATAGCAGTCCTCCTATATCCGTGGATTTAGGATCCCAAAGAAGAGGAGTCAACGTATTCTCCAAAGCACCAGAAGGCAGGACAAGGAGCAATTGAGAGAAGCAACTTAGAACTAAGGAGAAATTTCCTGAGAGAGGGAACAATCAATCCCTGAAATGGCTTGCCTTCAAAAGTTGTGGGAGCTTCATCACTGGAGAGTTTTTTTTTAAGTGATCTGTCTGAAATAATATAGGTTTTCCTGCTTTATTAGGGGGTTGGACTAGAATGCCTCCAAGGTCCCTTCAACTCTATTATTCCACTATTCTGAATTTACACAATGACACATTTGTTAGAGTTCCGGATCAGGTTAGGGTAGACTAGTGTAGAGGAATGCGTTCCCCTTCACCATCACAAGCAATTTCCATTTTAATTCAATCCCACTTTATTATAGCAAACCTGCCTAACCCTGACCCGCTCCTGCCTTCATGGGAAGGGGAGGGTCTTTTTCCATTCTCCCAAGTTCAGCAAGCATCAAATTATTCAACGTGATGTTTCCTTGTGGGATTTCTTCCCATCTGTATATAAAAGAATTCCAGATGATTGTATGAAATAATTTGGCAAAGTGCTTTAGAGATTTGGGAGACTGAAACATACATACACATACACCCCAAAAGAAGCTCTTTAATAGATAGGGTAGAACAGGTTGAAACAGTGGCATTGCTCCTGGGATTATTCCGTTATATCTTGTTCCTGGTTTATACACCCCTTGTTATATCTAAAATGGATTCATCAATTTGTAAACTCTCTGACATCTTTGCTGTATGCCTCTTCTGCCAGCCCCAGCATGAAAGTGCTCAAATAAATATTAACTTGTTCCTTCCCCCCCTAATTTAGTGCTCTGACACATGTATGGAGTTATACAGGAGTTATAAATAGTTCTTTATGACAACATGTCTGAGATTCTGCTCTGCATGTATAACAGAAGAGAAGAAAGGCAGAAAGAGAGGGAACAGACTGAAAAAAACCTTATAAAATTGGCTTTTCCTAAAGGAAGATTCTGAACAGTTCCATATTTTTGGAATGGAATGGGATAGCATAGCAAAGCATAGCATAGCATAGCATAGCATAGCATAGCATAGCATAGCATAGCATAGCAAAGCATAGCATAGCATAAGGGAATGGAATGGAATGGAATGGAAGGGAAGGGAAGGGAATGGAAGGGAAGGGAAGGGAAGGGAAGGGAAGGGAAGGGAAGAGAAGAGAAGAGAAGAGAAGAGAAGAGAAGAGAAGAGAAGAGAA